GGAAGATTATAATAAATCTCACCATTTAGATTTAGCTATAATGTATATGCATTTGTTACTATTGTTTATTGTGTATTTAGTCATTGGCTGCAATAAAGATTATTCAGTTATCTGTTAACAATGACAAATGATGTTATCCAAAATCTTCTTTCCAGAACACTCTATTATCCTTTTTATTCTTTGATGTGGGCATTACTTAGTCATGTACTTGCAACCTACCACAGATTATAAACTTATGATTCTCTGCTATGAATAGACAAGTACTACAATTGTTAGTGACATCCGTGGTAAGGAATTAACAGTTCTCTTAAGCATTGTAATACCCCTTCATTGACGTCATTGTAGTGGTGGTGATCTCCTAACTGACATCATTGAGAGAGAACATTAAAGAAATAGGATTGATATGCTAAGTTTATACACTGACCATTTTAAAATAGAAATTATGAGCATGGGTAATTTTACATAACACTAAAAATAGAACAAGAACAATTGCTGAAACAATGATGAACAGAAAGGAAAAAGCAAGCACACAAGAGAGTTTTTAATGAATGTAAAAAAAAGTGCATGGTCTGGAAAGAGCCTATAATATTTTAGTTTTCCTTTTATTCCAAATCCGTATTATATTTAACCAGATGATACCAGTAAAAAGAAAATACAACTGATAAGTCATAATTGCTGTTCTTCAAAATTGGAGGGGGAAGTTTGGTGCCATACAATAGCATAAGAAATTAGTTTCGATTGTTCTCTTTTTATAGAATTAATGTTTACAACATTCACTGGACTAAGAATAATTTGTGGTCCGCTCCATTCTCTGATTTGATTTATAGCATAATGGTTAAGGCAACAGGCATTATCATTATATTAGTGTGGTTTGATTCCCTTGGAAAGTTAATATTTATTGAGGATCTTCTAGGTCTTCCAAGCACAAGAGAAATAGCAACAAACAAAATAAATTAGGTTCTTTTTCTTGGAAAGCCCACATTCTACTAAGTAGAATGGATACTTAGATAGATAAAAAAATAAACTAAATAAATACATGTGCAAGATAACATTTGATAAGTGCTCTAAAAAAAGGGAGAGGTAATATAATAGCAATTTTGGTGGGGTTGAAGGCAGTTACTATTTTAGATGGGGATCAGGAAAGGCTTCTTTGAGGAAGTGACATTGGAACAAGAACCTGAATGAAGTAAGTCAGGAATGCAAATATCTAGGTATCCCAGCTCAGCTTCCTGCAGATTCCCCATCTGTAAAATAAGGCACAGGGCTGCTTTGATGATGCAATATGTAAGTGTATGAATAGCACTTAGCACTGGCCTAGTAACTGTATTAGACTATGTTTCTGGCTGGCTGTCCTTAGACATGAAAGTCTCAAGCAGGGTTAGCTTTTAATCTTGTTAGCAGCAAAGTAAGTTACCAAGTTACCTCATATATGCTAAATTAAACTTATTCTTTTATCTCTCAATGTCTTTTTACAATCAGATCCATCTCTTTGGATTGCTCCATACCTGGGTATCTGTAAAGACGGTTGTTGTCACTATCTGCCTCTAAATTAGCTAGGCAAATATCATAATGAAGTTTAGATGGCCAAATCCACATTTAATGTATCTGAAGATTTAGTCCAGCATTAACATAGTACTCTGTATTTTAAGGCATTTTAAAATTAGCAATTAAACCAGAAGTCTCCAGAGACTGTGGCCTTGTCTTGTCAATGCCACTAGTTTGGCTGTACAGTTAATTCCATCAGAGCCACTGAACCAAGTGATAGTGTGTGTAAAGAGTGTCCATGAGTCAATTGCCAGCACAGAATTCTTCCTGACATAGGAAGGCAGATGATCTCAACTTTTGAGTGCATACAGTGCAGATTTCTAGTTGAATGGTTCCTGACAATAGTGTCCTCTGAAACATAATGCCTGGCCAGGAGCCAATGATTATGCCACCGTACAAATCACTGTGCATCTGACGCCAGAACGCCTCTTTGCAATGGTAACAACAAGAGTTCTCAGTCCTGGTGTTCCACAAGATGTTGCATTGGCTCTTTTATTCTTTATCAGACCCTGGAATTAAAGATTTTATTTAGATGGTTTTCAGGAAATAAGCAGTGGTGGATGGAGAGAAAAAGAAAAATGAGGAGGTTTCAGTGTAGTTTAAGAAACAGCTTTGCTGTTTTACATTTCCCATTAGGACAAGATCAGCCTATGTTTTGAAACCTAGTTTTATTAATTGTTTAATAGACATTTCACTTTAAATTTCTTGTATAATTATAGAACCAAAACAGCTTCAAACTGTTAACTAATGATCCATACATCATTTTAGTAATTGCTAGCTTCTTTCAGAAAATACATTAATTTCATAAGAACATATAGACTTTCAAATGTGAAAGAATATGGAGATTTTAAGATTAATATATTGGAATACTTAAAATTTATTTCAAATGTTATTTTACTTTAACATATTATACATTAAAAATTAGAACATTCTTAAGATATTATAATCCTCCATATTTATTTGTATATAATTGTGTTTTTAAGAATTAAAAGTAGATACATAGATCATACTGTATAACTGCGGTGGTGATATATATAAAAATCTAACTTATGCAGAGTGTTCCTGTTCAATAGGAATTAAGCATCAGTTAAGATATTTAGCCAAATTTCATCTCCGACTATGAAATCGTCTGATTTTAAATATCAGCTTTTCTTGGAAATCACCCTTCAGGGAATTTTCACATTAAATAAGTAGACCTAAGCATCTTATTGATAGGAATAGTAATTGCTCAAGATGAAGGAACACATAGAACCCTAAATATTTCTCCTGACGAGCATTATACAACAAAACTAAAAGAAATATTTTCCCCATTGCAGCCAAAGTTGCCAGCATATCTTCTTTTTCATTGGTTTTCACTTAGTAAAACATATTCTTTTCTTACCGGATGTATGTAAGCAGTGGCCAACTATAAAAACTATAAGAATCTCTTTTAAATATGGGTAGCAATTCATAAAAGAAAAGGAAAAGATAATTTAAAAGGTTTCTTGCAGTTTGAAAATGCCTTCCAAATATTCATTAAACATTTAAGTGAGTAAATTTGTAGAATATGTTTCTGACATTGGCACTGGTTCTGTGGTATTTCTCTGATCAGATGGAAGTGCTATGTGTTATGCAGAGTGCATGCAGTTCATTCATGCATAAACAATATCATTTTCATAAATTAAAACCTCCCCTGCAGAAGGAACATCTGTGCCTGCCTTTGAATAAAAGATGGTGGCATGTGAGTTACTCTTTGACTGACTGAAAGAATCCCTATGTTTTAGAATGAAGTTGTATAGGCAAAATGGAAAAAAAGAAATCGAACCTAACTTTTAGTCTTCATTTCTACCTTACAAAAGAATCCAGTCTAGATTTCCCTGCTTGCTGTTTTAAAAGCTGGAATTCTTGAAATGTCCTTCTCTTATTTCTTCTGTTTACTACAGCAACAGTTTTTAGTTTGTATGAAGATGTCTAATTTTAATTACCAGTGAAATTGAGCTTAATAGATCTGATCAGATAGATCTGAATGTTCATTTCATGGTCTCCTATGCTGGAAAGCTGGTAGTATTCAAATATCTTATCATTATTATGTCTCTTAAAATAAGAACAGTGAGAACAATCCGGGATATAGGAAGCAACAGCTTGATTCCAAAATAACAACTCTGATTCACTTGGAATGAGATTGTTGCATTTTGGATAAAGTTGGGACTAACTTAAAAGTATTTCTGTCATGTGATGAGGCCTGATAGAAAACATGTTAAGATGATGTATTTTAAATTACACTCAAACTTTTTATAATGTTGAAATATTCCTTACTGCTACTGTCACAGCTCGACGCAGCCCCATTGGCAATGTTATTAGTATGGCTAATTGTTCCCGTCCATTGCATTACTCACATTTTTCTGGAGCAGCTTGCTAAATGAGGTCAGCTTTCTGGAACCCCTAAATCACCAATGAGAAGGAGATTAAAGGAACAAGCTTGGGAAGGGGGGTAGTCATCCAATGTGGCATCCGAATCAGAGTAGAAACAATGGAGTTACTAATGACAGTAATCAGAGGACCACAGTAGAGCCAGGACACAAGTGCCAAAATGATATTCCCTAGGAATCATGACTGTCAGTCAATACATCCAGAGGAAGAGAAACACCAAACTCTTTTTTTTAAAATGGACTTAACAATAGACAGAATCATCTCTAAATTTTTCCAGTGATTTGCGTTTGTGAAACAACAGAATAGTACCCCAAAGGGGAGAGGGAAACAATTACACCTTCCTAAAATATATTATATTACAAATAGTACGTTCTGAAGTACAAATAATTCTTTACCTTTTCTGATAGGAAATTTATTGAAATCATCACAAGATATTTATAGAACGATTATAAAATGCCACTTTGCTTGGATTCTTTAAATTAATTAACTCATTTCCCTCTGGTACTTTTAAAAGTACTATGACTTTCTCTTGGGGACAATACTGGTTTACAAGAGAAACCTGTTCTGTTCAAGAAAATGTACAGGTAATGGAGCACCAAGAAAATGGTAAAGTTTTTATGTTTTAAGTGTGTAGACAAACTAAGCTAGAGTACTTGCTTGTTAATAATTAACTAAATTCATGTTTTTTAAAAATAGAAGAAAACATTTAACACAATCACTTAAAAGAAAGTGAACAAAAAAACCTAAAGGCAAAGCCACTTAAAACAAAGAAAGATAAAAATACAACTGTTTGTCCCAGCCCCTATCCCCATATTCCAAACAATGAAATATCTGTTAGGTTTTCCCATTATCTGCAAAGAGCTGGTGACTCTCCAAGCAAGATAAACAGATTAGAGCATATGCCAAAGTAAACTTTTCTTTTCTTTTATTCTACAAATAATGTTTAGTATATTTTTTAAACTCAGCAAATAAAGAAAATATTTTCCCCAGGAATAATTTATACTTTAAAAATCACTTTAAGAAAAAGATGCAACAATTGCTCTGATTTTCAATACTATTTTATTGCAACTGGATGAATGTTTTCTAAATTGTGCATTACACCACAATATACAGGATTACAAACAAGATTACAGTACAGATTGATTCCAGTGGTACCAGGATCACATCTCAAACAGCACTTATTCTGGACTGCATTTTACATGCAATAGCTATTGTTCTAATTATGAATTAAATGGTTTGAATTTATTTAAGCTACTGTACTAATTGACTACAATAGATATAAATCCCAACATTAACAACCTGATTAGATTTAGGCTCAGATTTATTACATGAATATATGACAAACCACCGTTTATGTGACTATGTATAAAAATCATGCATTCATATTTTCTGGAAACATCAATAGCTTCAGATTCTCTGTAAAATCATGGAATACAAAGGAGTAAAAGACTAAAAATAAACAGTGCAAATTGTATGTGATAGTCAAGCAGCTTTTGATTTAAAGAAGGGTATGTTGGCATTTATTTATAATATGTATATACAAGCTTGTGCAAGTAATGAATTGATATGTTTTGATAGGGAATGCATCTCTTGATTTTTTTAATTTTCTTGAGTGTTATGGATCTGGTTTTTATTTTAGAGAGAGGGAAAGATTTTAAAGTGAAATGAATTGCTCAAATTGTGCAATTTTCTTTTCTGTTTTTTTTTTTTTTTACAATTAAAGAGGAAAGAAGTGCTAAGGCAACACAATAACTTTCTAAGCACTTTTCTGCTGGTTTAAATTAGTTAAATTATTTTGTATAAATTAGATATAATTCTACTTTTCTGATATGTATAAAAATTGATGAAGCTGCATGGTTTTAAAATAGGAAATCCACATTATAAAAAGTCATTAAAAATTCTGTACAAAATCACAACAAAATAATTCAGCATGGGAAAGGTAACAAGTAGTAAAATGCTGGTTGAAAAATATATATTTATATATATTTTAATTGGCCCATTACTAGTTTAAAAATTGCATAGATCCTAATTATTGCTTGTGATTTTGTTATCCCGATCAGATAATTAATACGATCTGAATACAGCTACACCAAATTCGTGGTGCTTTTTTTTAACTTTACTGTATTTTCTTGTTTAAATAGAAGAGCTATAGAAAATAATACATAAGGTGAACAGGAACTTTCATCCCGTTTCTTCCAAAGGCAGTAACAACAATAAATACATATATCACTTGAAGCTTGGAGTATTTGCACTTTGCAGCAGTAGTACCCAAAGGGCTGCCTTTTGTAAACACCACAGTCACTGTAAGCACAGTGGGTTCGTTTCCCGGGAATGGTGAAACTGACATGCCTCTAATCGTGAAAGATGGCATTGAGCTGGGCACTCATGACTCGCTCATGATGTGAATGGCTATCGAAAGACATAATATTGTCTATGGGGATCTCGCAGCGAGGGGCAGCGGCGCCCGAGAAGATTGATCCGTGGCTTTGGGCCCCTGCCAGGGTCGCTGCAGGATAGTGCATGGTAAAGGCATAATTTTTCTCAAACTCGGCGGACGGTTCGTGTTTGAAAGAGAAGTTGCCATTGATGCTGAGCGGCGGGCTGAGGGGTCCGTCAAAGGAAGGACTCGTGCAGTCAGTCAGGGGGCTTTCAAAGAAGGGCTCCAGCGCCGCGCTGTAGGCGTGCGGCGGCGGCTTGACGTGGAAGACGTGGGAGCTGTCCATGGTACCGTAGGGCGGGCTGGGCAGCCCAGGCGACTGGTAGGAGTAGGGATGCACAGGGAAGGAAGCGCTGGCCGTGGGCAGGTGCGGGGGCATGTCCTGGTTCTGTTCAGGCAGGAAAGTCCGAGGATTGAGCTGCAAGCAGCCCGCAACCAGGTTGGTGGTGGGTTGGGATAAGCCCTTGCAAAGCGTCTGAACGAAGGAGACTAGGTCGGGGCTTTTGCCTGAGCGCAGGATCTCGGACAGAGCCCAGATGTAGTTCTTGGCCAAGCGCAGCGTCTCGATTTTGGACAGCTTCTGCGTTTTCGAGTAGCAGGGCACCACCTTGCGCAGGTTATCCAGGGCCGCGTTGAGCCCGTGCATGCGGTTCCGCTCCCGGGCGTTAGCCTTCATGCGCCTCAGTTTAAAACGCTCCAGGCGCGCCTTGGTCATCTTCTTCTTTTTGGGGCCGCGTCTCTTGGGCTTTTGATCATCGTCCTCCTCTTCCTCTTCTTCTTCCTCCTCCAGGTCCTCATCTTCGTCCTCCTCCTCTCCCCCATTCCTCAGTAAGTCCTCCTCTGCGTTCATGGCTTCGAGGTCGTCCTCCTTCTTGTCTGCCTCATGCTCCTCGTCCTGAGAACTGAGACACTCGTCTGTCCAGCTTGGAGGACCTTGGGGCTGAGGCTCGCCCATCAGCCCGCTCTCGCTGTACGATTTGGTCATGTTTCGGTTTCCTACATCAACAGGGGAGAGAGGCAAACAGAAAGAAAAGGAAAAAATCCTCTGTATTCAAAAGCCAGATACGCCTTCAGCTCCCACATCCTAACCTATACAAATGCATGAGAAGTGCCAGTTCATTATAAAATGAATGCCTCTGAGAAAAAGTTAAAACGCAGTGTTTTATAATGGCGTGCGTGTGCCCCGCTGGTACGTAGGGGAGAGGACGGGGTGGGCGAGGGCCGTGAGTGTGTACACGTGTACACCGCTCACGCGTGTGTGTTTCCTGGTGATGAACTTATAAATGTGTTCGTGGTGATTGTCTAGCAGGGTAAAGTGTGTGGAAATGAGTGTACCTTTCAGCGACTTCATGTTTACCCAAATGTGTTCCAAGTCACTCACAACTTCACAAAAATGCTGAGTTGAAACATCGTACGTACATTCTGTTCCCATTTCTGTCCTGGCTTCTGGGTACTTAGCGATTTAAATTGAAGAGCTATTACGTAATTTACTAATACTGGCAGTGATTTTTAAGAAGATTATACCGACGAGAGATTGAAGAGCAAATGCAGAAAAGAGGAAAAGTAGTTTCAGCCAAATTATTTCACCATTAACATAACATTTGGAAACAAAACTGGGCAGGGGTTTTCCATCCCTCCTTTGCCCTTCTCTTCTGGCCTCCCGTCCCGCCGCGAGTTTCCACCTCGTACAAAAGCGCTGGCTGCAGCGCGAGGGCCGGGGGCGCGGCGCAGGGCTCCTCCACGCGCCGGGGATCAGGTGCGGAAGGCTCCTCTCTAATAAACAGCCCATTGAAAGGGTTGCCCGCTCTTTATTGGGGCTTTTCAAAGTTCGCCTCAAACCTCCCTTTAAAAGATTGAGTAATTATAATGGTCAGCGATTGGCAATGGCGAAGTTGCCGCTTCTAATAAGGAAAATAAAAAGCCTTTAGTAAAACAACAGAATTTCTGCAGCAGTGGCTGTTGAGGACTCGGCCGCTTCTGGAGCGGTAACAGGTAGCAGGAGTGCGAGGAGGAGTGGGGTCGCTCTCCTTTTCTGCACTTTTCCCCCATCAACTATCTCTGAACCTGATTTATTTTCCAGGGTATGTATACTCAAGGTATCCACCGCCCTTTCATTCACTGAAAATATAACTTGATACTCCTAATATGCATAAAATACATGCACACACAATACAGCTTGGGCTTTTTTTTTTTTCTTACTGGAAAAAGTGAAACAGTATAGTGGTTAGTTGCTTTTAGAACTTTAAAATCACCACTAGCAAATAATCAAAGTTACTGTGTATTTTTAAAAAATCCAGGAAGCTCCTAGACTAGCAAAAAAAGGAAAACCAAAATTTTTAAAAATCAAATTAGAAAGCCTGCAGGGGGTACTTGAATGACACGACTCATTATGTGTGAGTACTTGTGGGCCACTACCGGGAGGGATGTGGGTCTCAACACACATACACACGCTCACAAACGCGCACATACAGAATATGTAGGTGCATGGGGTCTTCAATTACTGCTTTTAACCTAGAGCAAAAAATAAAAGGATTGTAATTACCTTTGTTGTTAGCAAGTCCTGAGCAGTGATGGTCTCATAACCCTGGGGCCTCCGGACGCCGTGCCTTCCGCGTGGGCGAATTCCTCGTGTCCCGGCCGCGCGGGCGCTCAGGTTATATAGCCGAGTTAGTGATGCTGAGCGCGGGCGGGGCCGCGAGCTGAGCGGCTGGCAGGTCTGTGCGCCGGGCGCCTGCGCACGCGTCCAGGCTGTACGCTCCCCGCTCTCCCCTCCTCCCTGCTTCCCCCCAGCCTTGCTCTTCTCCCGCCCTCCTCCGGCAACCGCTCCTCTCACCCCCTACCCCTACCCCCGCCCCTTCTCCTTCCTCCCCGGCATGCGCCATATGGTCTTCCCGGTCCAGCCAAGAGCCGGGAGCCACGTGACCTGCCCATTTGTATGCCGCAGAGCGCTCCATTCCGGCCCCTTTGTGGCCAGAAGAAAGTGGCCCATCTGTCGCCAGTTAGAGACTCTGCGGACCTGTTTTTACCCGCAGGAGAGATTAACCCTTTCAGGCGGCAGAAGGGAGAGGGGATGAGGGGAGGAGATTTGAGAGAAGGGAGCGAAAAGCTAATGATGCCTAGGTCTAGGTCAGAGCGAGTGGCCTGCATTCACACGGGAAGTGGGGCAGAGGTGAAAGAAGCGGGGAGACTGAGGCACGCAGTGAAGAGTCCTCGCTCCTTTCGCTTCCTCGCCTTGGCACCGGCCTCCAGGACAGCATGACTCTCTGCCCTCTCTGAGAGGCCCATCTCTTGGCTTCTTCCCCTTGGCAGACGCTTTGCTCATTGGCGCCAAATGGTGGCTTCTTTTAATCTCCATCAGTTCCTCTAAGCAAACATATACGCCATAGAAAATGGCTTCATCTGTAAACGCAGATTTGAGACTAGTTCCCTAGCCTCTCTATCTGGATCACCCGCTCCCGGTTCCTCCAGTATAGAAATTTTGTACCTGCCATTCTACCCCACCATATATGCAACCCCGCATTTCCTGATCGCAGCTATCTCTGTCCCTGGAGACCCCTCACAATGTCAGTCTCCACCTCCACTCCCAGGATCTTGACCTCAAAGCTAGCTAGTTCTTTTCTTCAGGCCTTGGCTCCATTGCCCTTTGTGCTCTCTTGCGCGGGATCTGGGGACTTCTCTGACGCTTGGATTCTGCCAGTTAACCAAGGCCATTGGGTTGCTACAAAGGGTGCCTTCACCCAGCCAGCCCAGGGGACGTTTCTGGTTGCCTGGACAGCGTGCTCCCACAACCTCAGCTCTCTAGCCCAGACACCGACCACGAACGTGGTGGTGGACACCCTGCCACAACCTGTTCTGGACCCTTGGTCCCCCAGTCTCGGGCCTGTATAACAGATACTGGATTCAGACAAGCCTTCTCAAAGAGAAGATGCAATGGGCCTGTGCCGAACGGGTCTTTTCGCTCTCTTTCTAGAAGTGCCACTAGCACCACTCAGGGAAGGATTGATGGCTGCGGCTCCTCCACAGAGCTCGAAGCCTCTGATTTGACTCGGCCTCTCCCTTGCAAGTCTAGCAAAGACCATAAAACTTCCTGACCAATTCTGACGGAGCCATATTGTTGCTTAAATAGTGATGATTCTTTATTTACTCTTTCCGGGTGTTTTCCAGAATGATACATCTAAAAAAGAAAGAAAAAAAGAAGCTGGCCTATTCCCTTCCCTGTCCACTCCTTCTCCCCTAGCTTCTCCTCTAATCCTCCATTAACAAACTCCTTACCCCCGCCCAGAACGGAAGCCCTTTGCAATGAATGCATCTTACTTGAATTGCTTATTTAAAGGCAATTGCCCTAAACGTCCCTCCAGTTTGCAAACAGTGTCAGGGTTGAGCAGCTGGAATGGGGTGTCTGGGAGAGGGTGGAGGTGGGGGAAGTGTCCTAACGAGATCGCGAGCGTCTGGAAGGCGGAGAGTGTAGCTTTCTCAGTCCAGCACAAACCCAAAGGGGAAGAAAAGAGTTGTGCGACTAGACCTGTGGCCCGAAGCAATCGTTCTGAGGTTCTGGAGCATAACTGTACGGAGTTTTGCCTTTCCACGTTCACTCGTTGGCTGACAAAGAACACAGAGAAGGATAAAAGAATTCACCCAGGATCCTGGTCCCAGTATTGACCCCTGTGCCATCTGTGTCTTCAGTGCTGGGTTCAAATTCGAGCGGCGTCGGGGAGCTCCAGCCTGCAGAGGCTGGTCCACAACCCGGAGGTCTGAGGACCTTTGCGGCAAGGCCAGGCTATGCGCTGCCACTCTCCTGGCAGACGCCCGGGCCGACTAACACACCGCGCCGCAGGGATGTGGAACTCGTGCCTGGGCTCTCATTTCTCCATCTTTGGGGAGCTCCAGAGGAGATATTGGGGTTGAAGTGGGAAAGAGGGCTCCAGCTGCCCCGAAGGCCGGGGGTGGCCTACAGGTCCCTCTGCTCAGCCCTCACCCTCACCCTCGAAAGCGGAAACTTCCCCAGTTTGCGACACCCTGTGGAATACAAGAGAATCTTTTGGTGGAGCAAGATGTTCTTGGGCAAGAAGGAAGCCTGGCCTTCTCGTTTTGTCAGAGGAGACTCAAATGCGTGAAGTGAGATAATTGTTAGACCCGTTTCCTTCCTCTCCCCCTGATAAATTCATCTCTAATCCCACTACGCGTTGCTGGTTCAGGCCTGGTGATTTGTACAAAGGAAAGGCCACTCCGGGATGTTTCAGAGACCTGGCTGAGGCTGGGTCTCACCGTGGCTCTCACTGAGCTTCCCAGCCCGCCGCGCTCGCGGAGGTTGTCCGCCCAGGGCGCCCGCATCGTGACCAGCGGGGCCCCGGGGGGGGGGGGGAGGCCGCGGCCAGGCGGTAAGGCCCGCAAGGGAGGAGCCCAGAGCCTGGATTGAGGTGTCTTTCGTTTGGAGTTGGGGGAGCAAAAAAGTGGGGCGAGAGAAAGAATCCACCAGAACGCCGGGAGAGGGCCGAGCTGGAGGCGCGGTGGGGTTTAGCAAAGAGAAGGGTCTCCCCCGCCCCACCCGGCCTCTTTTATTTTCTTCTCTTTGGGCTTGTTTGGACGGTTGTACACTTTTCTTCCCTCCGGATTCCCTAAGTTCTCTCCCTCTCCACCCCTACCCCCACCCCCGCTGCCAGTTAGCTGTGCGTCCCCAGCTCCTGTCCCCACTGGGCGCTGCAGGCTGCCGAGCGGCACGCGAACCGCACGCGCGGGCAACAAAAGCCGCTTTCATGACTCACTGCCCTCGAGCAATGCCCCAAATCTGCCGCCTCCCGGGTCCCTGTTCTGAGCGCGCGGCGCTGGCCGGGCGTCCGGGCCGTTACAGCGGCAGCCGGAGCGCCCGCGGGAAGCGGGGCGGGAGGAGGCGTGTGGCCCCGGGTGGGGAGAGGGGAGTGTGACCTGGACCGGGCGGAGGAGAAGGGAGGGAGGCTTGGGGAGGGGTGGGGGTGGAAGGCGATGGAGGCGTGTGGCCCGGACGTAGGGGGTGGGAAGCGTGTGGCTGGCGGCGAAGGGGGCGGGGGGAGGGCGGTGGCGACGCATTCACGGGGCAGAGATAAAGAGCTGGGGCCGGGCCGGCGTCCCCGGCGGTGACCTGTTTCTCGGGGAAACAGATGCTCGCTCTTGCAAAGGGAGGTTTGCGTTCAATGAAAGGATCAAGTGTGGCCAGAGTGGCCCGGCCGACCTCCAGGGGCTCCCGCGTCCTCTCCCTGCCCTGCCCAGGAGGGGGGTGTCTGGGCCTGGGCGAGTTCCAGGGGCTGGGGGTGGCGCTGGGGGCCCGCGAGACCGTGGGGCGTTGGGGCCGCAGGATCGGGGGCCGAGAGCTGTAGGTCCCCCTTAGGTCTGTTAGCTCCGAGGCCCTTGAGAGGCTCGGGGAGTCGGGGGCGACGAGAGGCTCCAGGGAGGCGTGTGGGCTCCCCAGTCCCGTCCAGAGGCTGGAGTTGCCCCGGCTCGACAGGCAGGCGGCGGGGGAGAGCCAGGAGCGAGAGAGACGCTATTAAAATGCCTCGCCGTCGCCCCGAGCGCAAAACCCGTCTTCCCCAATTCTCCTGGGCTTGCGGCATAATCTTAATTAAGATAATTGATTCATATTGCACCTGCGAGAACAGAAAAAAAATTGATTTCAACCCCCAGCCCCACAAATCGCTTAGAGCTATTGGCTGGAGCAGGACGCGGCTGTGATTTGGGGAGTGATTTAGTGCTGCACTTCCCCAGCCCAGCCTGCCCAGGCCCTTTTATTTATTATTTACGTCCTCGTGGTCCTGCTGGGCCTTGGTGGCTCCCCTCCTGGCGCCCACAGTCCTCTGATTCCCTGTCAGGATTGAGGGGCTTTCCTTAAGCCATCCAACACGCAGAATCAACCACGTAAAATCAGGGCAGTCGGAGTATCTTGGCAGATGCGGGTCACGAGCACTTGCTCAAGGCCTGGTGTGTCTGATAGGCTGTGTGTGCAAATGTGCGTTAGTGTGTGATTGTGCTTGCGTGTACAAGTGCATGTGAATCTGTGAGTGTATGAGCGTGTGTGAGATTGTGTGTAAATCGTGTGTATGTGAACATGAGTGTGTGTGTGTGTGCGCAGGTGTGAGTGTGCGTGAGTGTGTGTTCACGGGCGCACCTGCTGTTGAGTGAGGAGCATGAACAGAGGGCGCACACCTGTTTCGCTGGGATTGAAGAACAGCTTGCGGTCCAAAGGGGACCGCAGGGCTAGGGAACTGACAAGCACACGGTATTTGCCAACGACCTTTGCTTTAACAGAAAGAAACAAGCAAATAAAAATCCCTGGTAGCTGGGTATGGCTTTGGGAGTGGAGAGCCCAGACACACCGACGGCGCCTGAGCGTCCCTGAACAATGGTTGCTGCGGTGGGTTTGGGGAGGAGACCCCGGCAAGTTCCTAAAGGCACGGGAAGAACGCAGGCAAGCCAAGTTTAAGAGCCTCAGGCCGCTTGTAGAAGAAATGGCTTCCTCATCATATCAGCACCGTGGACACTTCCCACTTCGCCGGCCCTGAAATTCGTCCTATTAAGATAAAGCAAAATTCCCCTTCCTGCCTGCCATCCTGTCGTTCCTCCCTCCCTCACTCCCTCACTCCCTCCCTTTACCTTCTTTGCCTTTCTGCCTTCGGTTTTCCCTTCATTCCTTTCTTTTATTCCTGTTCTCTTTCTTTCAAAAAACCATTGGCCACCTGTGCCTGAACTTTTAGTTACAGAGTCCTGTAAGTCTGCATCTAATTAGCCACCTTTTCAAAATAAGTTTCCTGGCAAACTAGACATCTAAGTTTAGGGGTGGAGGAAGGACTTAAACTATAATTTGATCTGGCTTATCTGAAACAAAGACAGAAATCATATATTGAATAACTTTTGAAAAATTATTCTAACATTTACACTTATTTGCTTCAAAACCAAAATGAATCTCTTATTTGCTGTCCACAGAAATAACAAAATATCTCTAAAAATATTTTTGATTTTGC